TCATTTGCCCTTGTTTTGATCAGGTGTTCTCAGAGGGCACAGCCTCCACCTTCGACTCCTCTTTGAAAGAGAAAGCCCCCTTCACCATCAGAAACTCTCTTGGGATTCCTCTCATCGTGCAGCACAGCAGCAACCTGAGGCCGGTGGGGTCATCAGCGCAGGGACGGATACATGAGCTGTCCGTGGATCAGAGCATGGACCTGGAGTACTCTGTGTTCGAGCCGTCATCACGGGGCAAACTGTCAGCTCTGCAGCGGCAAGAGAGCTGCCTGTTCCACCTCACCATCGGTCAGAACGCTTCCCCTTCACTACAGTCTCTTTCTGCAACATATTTTACCTGCTGCGTGTATATAAGGAAGTACTGACTAAAGCAAAAAGGTTTCAGCTGAGATTTAAAGGCCTCAGCAGAGTCAGACGGTCTCATGCAGCAGGATTCAGCAGGAAGGTTCTTCCAGAGAAAAGGAGCTAACGCTTAGATAATAATAGACGGATACCATTAGCCACAGTGATGTTGTTGGAGGTGCTCTAAACATCAGAACCACAGTCTAGCAGGACATTTGGATAGTAGCAGTTTTATTTATCTATGAATCTGTATAACTGTGTGAGAATAAAGATTCAAATTGGCTAACGTGTCTCTGAACCCACAGTTCCCTCCGGATACAGCGAGATCTCCAACATCGCTGTAGACAAACCGGGTCGACGTCTCTACAACATCCGTAGTCCGTTGATACCGGAGGCGGTCTCTGTGCTGCTGCAGATCGACGCTGCAGAGGGCAACAAGGTCATCACTGTCCGTTCGCCGCTGCAGGTCCGAATCCCAAACATAGTTCTCTGAAAGTCTAATATGTTGTTGCTGAACCGGCAACAGGTTCATTTTTTGTCTCTGTTTGTGTTTTCAGATAAAGAATCACTTCTCTGTGCCGTTCACCATCCTGATGTACTGTCCAAAGTCCAGGAGCCTGCAGAGCGTCGGACAGGCCGAACCTGAGAAAGAGTTTCACATCGCCTTAGAAACATACAGGTACCATCGCGCTGCCTTGCTCAGGGCAACAAGGGAACACGCCGCACCGTGAGCGTGGTGTCACTTTCCATCTCTGTAGTTTCATTTTTTTTCATGTTCACATAGACGCTCTCTACTGCGCTAAACATTACGTCTGTTTACACACCAGAGTAAAAAAGAACAGCTGTTATATTATCCAGACAGCATGGGCAAAGGTAGGCGTCAGCTTCGTGATTGCTTCTTAAAAAGAGAGCGAACAAGAGCGAGAGGTCTCTTTCAGGTGGATTTAGTTTTAGTTGAACCGGCAGATTGGCTGTTTGACTGAATTGCTGACGGTGTGTAGTTCCTCTGGCGCCAGGGGTGCAGTAGATGTTGACCGTGTAGTCACAAAACTTTACCCTCCTCCCTTCCAGATGTCAGCTGTTTGTACGTCCGGCGGGTCGTCTGGAGGCTCAGTACGGTCCGTCCTCCACCTGCGTGGCGTGGAAGGAGCAGGTGCACCGCAGCTCGGAGGTGCGTTCGGTGCTGCAGTGTCCGGCGGCCGACAGCAGCCTGCTGCCGCTGATGGTCAGCACGCTGGCTGTCCCCGACGACCTGCGACACATCGCCAGCCACGGAGAGGAAGACTGGTACCCCGCCTACGTCATCCACCTCCACCCTGTGGCCACGCTACGCAACCTGCTGCCCTACACCGTCCGCTACTTGATGGAGGTACACAGAAAGAAGCAGAAGAGAGTCAACAACAGATAATCAAAGCACGATGATTGATTAGGTTCAGTTAGATCTGAATCTGCTTTGATCTGATCTGGTCTGATCTGGTCTCTCCCTCCTCAGAACTCAGCAGACACTTACGAGCTTCAGGAAGGAAGCACGTCGGACCTCCTGAACGCTCGTGTCTCAGGTGAGATCATGTCGTTGGTGCTGATGAGGTATCAGGGCCGCGACTGGCACGGACATCTTCGTGTCGAACAGGAAATGCCGGAGTTCTTTGCCGTGTGTCTCACGTGTGACTCGGACACCAACGTGACGGTGGATGTGAGCGTTCACGTGACGAGGACGGCGAGCCGCCTGCTGCTGTCACTCTTCAGCCCGTACTGGATCATCAACAAAACTTCTCGAGTGCTGCAGTACAGAGCAGAGGACGTCAGCTTCAAACACCCGGCCGACTGCCGAGACATCTTCCTGTTCTCTTTCAGGAAAAAGAACCTCTTCAGCAAGAACAAGGTGAGAAAGACACTTGGACAGATTCAGAGTTCCCACATCGAGTCTACAGAGGCAAATATCTGTGGCTGAGGCAACGTCCATCCGATAATAGTCACCCCTGCAACCATCAGCTAGATCTCCATCCATTTCCTGCTCTCTAGAGAAGAAACGCGTTAGATTTGAATGACCAGACAAACCCAGGTCACATCCTACCTGCAGTTCCTTGAATGGCCACTTGAGGCTGGCGAGCGGATCCCCATAGATTCCCCTTTTAAATGCCTGCTGTAAAACACACTTCTCACTACGTCCATGTTTAATACCGTCTGTGGTTTGACCCAAATTTTGTGCCTCTACCTGTACCTAAAGAGTAAAAACAAACCCGGCCATGATGTGTACCATCACCATGCAGCGAGGTTAGCGTCAGCATCCTGTTCACTGCGGGGTTATTTTGACAGCAGTAGTCGGTGTGTTGTTCTGACGCGTGTGTGTGGTTCGTTGCAGCTCCAGTTGTGTGTGTCCACCAGCTCCTGGTCTGAAGGTTTCTCTCTGGACACCGTGGGAAGTTACGGCTGCGTTCGCTGTCCGGCTAACAACATGGACTTCCTGGTAACTAAAACCTTACTCGGTGTCTCTGTGCAGTGCAGAGGTTTGTGTTGTTGTGCTGTCCATCAGATTAAATCAGATTAGTCAGATCACATTAGCTGAGGTCCATTTACTCGCCTGTTCGTTCAGCTTTCGACCCGGATCACACAGTCTTCATCCGCAGACTGTTGGTGGTGAACGCCTACAGTTCCATGAAAAGTGAGCTGCTGATGAAGAGTGTGTGATACTATTAAAAAAAAAAAAAAAAACTCCAGAACTGATCACATCAGATTAGAAGAGGCCAGGAGAAGCTGAAACCATTACCAGTTCATCACCAGCAGGAAGCTAAGGCGACGGCTGTGAGAAGAGTCATGGATTTTTAGCCCTCTGTGATCTTCTGTCTTTGCAGTACTGGATATAAATCAAGCTGGGTTTCGTGATGGATCTCATAGACCAAACGTGTAACAGATGACTTGAGGACATAATCGACAGATTGATAAAAGAAATATTTCTTGCAGCACTAGTTAGACTGTTTGTATGTGTCCAGGTGGGCGTCAGTATCCAGATGAGCAGTTTTAACCTGACCAGGATCGTCACCATGAGTCCATTCTACACTCTGGTCAACAAGACGTCCTATGAGCTGGAGGTGGGAGAAGTGACCAGCCAGACCTCCACCAGGTGGCACTACATCGCCACCACAGAGGTGAATATGGATCCTGTTCACAGACAGTCAGCATCAGACAACTACAACTCCCAGAGAGCACTGCAGTGAGCACGTCCAGTCAGACAGCTTCAGACTGTGTTGTTAGTGAACTTGTTTTTGAATCAGTCGTCTTTCAGATTCTGGATCCACTTGAATCTTTTGAGGTTAGATCTAAATCTGATCCGACCTCGATGTCACAGCTCTCGATGGAGACGTCTTTTCTCTTATGTGTGTGTTTCTGTTACTCTGATAACCAGGTAGGGCATCATGTGTCGAGGTAACTGATAAAGAGACGTAGTGAGGACCAGGTTTTGACCATTGTTGCTCTAAGATTCTGGTTTATTTGTGGGAGCACGTCAGCACCAAGTACAGTAGCAGCCTGAGAGTGTTGTTCATACTTGTTGTGTTGCAGTGCCTCCCTCTGTGGCCGGAGAACACTTCGGGGAAGTTGTGTGTCCGTGTGGTCGGATCTGAATCCACCTCCAAGTACTTCTTCTTTAACCGACAGGACAACGGCACCGTGCTGAGCCTCGACATGGTGAGTGTCTCTGCTGGACCAATCACATGAGCTGATTTTACTCTGAGAGTTGAGTACGTTTCAGGTGTGTGTGTGTGTTTTCAGTGCGGTGGGATCATCGTGGATGTCAACATCTCCGATCTCGCCACCATCATCAGCTTCAGCGATTACTATGACGGAGCAGCTCCGGCCCTCCTGGTCAACCACACGCCCTGGGTCACCATCAGCTACCGGCAAAGGTCAGAGGTCAAAACACACACACGTTTCTCATCCCTTGAGTTTCACAGCTCGGGTCCCGTGGGTGTAGGCCGGGTCCCGTGGGTGTAGGCTGGGTCCCGTGGGTGTAGGCCCAGCAGGGAGCTTGATAGCAAGCTCCCTGCCCAGGCCTGGCTCCAGGAGGGGCCCTTTTCTCCCTTATCCAGGGTGGGTAGCTTTCTGCTGAAACCCCCTAGGACCCTGACAGTGCATCTCTCGCTCATGGAGGTACACAAAGGCGGAGAGGTCCCAGCTCTTTTAACACACGTGCTAACACATCGTGGAAAGGTCAGGTAAAATACGTGATACGTGATGCGACCAAAAATATTGGCACTATTATTAATGGTGTCATCATCTGTCTTTAAGTTGCTGCTGTCAAATTCACATTTTAATATTACAAGCTAGAGGACAAACTGCACAGAGGAACATAAACAGCCGTAACACCCACACAGAGTACTCAGTGATCTGAGGAGGAAGCAGCTACAAACGTCCTGATGTGTTACTGCTGATGTCATTAATGATGTCATCAGGTCACACACTCTTTAAGATATTAAGAAACAAGTGTTGATTCATTTGCTTAGGATTTTTGGGCGATTTCATGGAAAGGTAACCACCCTCTCTCTTTTCCTTTCTAAGCGGCTCAGCGATGGATCACCAGCTACAACCCAACGAAGCCCGACGCTTTGCGTGGGACGACCCAGCCAGCGCCCGAACGCTCAGCTGGAGCTCCGGGGGACATTCTGGAGAGCTGGACCTGCTGAAGGTCTGACACTATTGCCTGTTTTTTGATTTGCACTTCTCAGTTTTGCTTGGTCATTGTGGTACAGATGTTCTGGGGGGGGGTTCTGTGTGGCACTGTTCTTCTATTGGTCAGACAAACTGAAAACTTGTTCTATTCCACGGAGAAAGGTTCAGGTTGTTCTGCTGCCTCAAGTGGCAAAAGAAATGCATTAAGGCAGCTTTAACCTATCAAAAACGTAAAGGACCAAGAGCAGTACCCTGAGGAACCCCTCAAGTAATTAGTGACTCTGTGGAAGGGAAGATCATGTTGCTCTGTGTCTGCTGACTGTGGAAAAAGGTGTTCTCAACGGGCGCAGACCAAAATGTAGGCCTATCCAATGCAAGAACGTAACGTGTGACGTAACACTGAGCGAGCAGGAAAATAACGGTTCTCACATTACAGCTGAACAGCACTGAGATATGCAGAACCTTGATCCATGTTGGATCAGCACTGCAGAGTTTGACAGTTTGATCTGAGGTTCATGAGCCTGCGGGAAATCTGTGTGAGTGGGAGCCCGGTCAGACGGACCTGCCAGAGCCACAAGGTACATCAGGGAGGACTCGAGTAGATGGTTTAGATCAGTGGTTGGCAATAGGCGGCCCGCGGGCCCAAACTGGCCCACCAGCAATAATATCTGGCCCGCAGCCAGATTGTTTTCATAGCAGAAAAATAAATAATTAAATTGATAGCGGGTGATGCTGAAACAGATCATGACAGCACCAGTTACTCTTCCATTTAAGTTATTGTGCGTAAAAAATAACAGCAAGAGAACGTTTTTTAGCAGAGTTTATTGAGAGCTTTTACTTTGACAAGTTCTGAAGGACATTCGAAAGAGTCTCTAGCCAGCTTGACTTACTCTGAAAAAGCCGCCGTAAACGTGTGATTGGATTCCCCTGAACTTCCTCAGGGAAATGAAAATTAGTGTCCACAGGGTTATGAATGCGGATCAAACAGCAGGACGCACTGCAGCACATGCTTTATTGCAAGCATGTGAAAAAGTGTCCTTGTAGGCTAATCAATCGATCACTCCTCCAACGTCCAACCTGTCCATCGTCTGCCCACTGAGCTAAACGTGCACATAAGGGTGTGAAAAATAATTTGGCTGAAATAACGTTCTGGCCCAACATGTAACGGCTTGAAAAAAATGTGGCCCGATGTAAGACTTATTTGCTGACCCCTGGTTTAGATGGTTTAGAAACTGTGACAGGGCTCTTGGTGCTGGTTCCTCACAAAGCCAATAAATCAAGCCCAGAATCACACTCTGACAGTCTGTGTCTGGTCTTTGGTTCAGGATGAGGTGGGTCAGTTCTCCTACGACAACTTGAGTCAGATCCACTGGGTTTCCTTTCTGGACGGACGCCAGCGGGTACTGCTGTTCACCGAGGACGTCGCCGTGGTGACAAAAGCTCGGCAGGCCGAGGAGCTGGAACAGTTCCAGCAAGAAGTAAAGGTGTCGCTACAGAACCTGGGACTGTCCCTGATCAACAACAGCAGCCGGAAGGAGATCGCTTACATCGGCATCACCAGGTAAACACAGGTGAAGGGCCGTGAGGTTTGACTACACACAGGTGGGGAGTGTTACAGTGTGTTCCAGCTCAGGTGTGTCTGTGTGTTATAGCTCAGGTGTGGTTTGGGAGATGAAGCCAAAGAATCGCTGGAAGCCGTTCAATCAGAAAAACATCATCCTGCTGGAGGAAACATACCAGCGTCAGCTGAGCGGGAAGACCGAGGGGGGCTGGGTCAAACTGCAGACCAACCTGGAGGTCAGAGGCTAACACACAAACCCACAGACTGAACCTTGACTTCCAGACCCCGCCGACTGAGGCCTGACATCCAGACCCCCACAGACTGAGGCCTGACATCCAGACCCCCACAGACTGAGGCCTGACATCCAGACCTCCCACAGACTGAGGCCTGACATCCAGACCTCCCACAGACTGAGGCCTGACATCCAGACCTCCCACAGACTGAGGCCTGACATCCAGACCTCCCACAGACTGAGGCCTGACATCCAGACCTCCCACAGACTGAGGCCTGACATCCAGACCTCCCACAGACTGAGGCCTGACATCCAGACCTCCCACAGACTGAGGCCTGACATCCAGACCTCCCACAGACTGAGGCCTGACATCCAGACCTCCCACCGACTGAGGCCTGACATCCAGACCTCCCACCGACTGAGGCCTGACATCCAGACCCCCACAGACTGAATCCTGACATCCAGACCCCCCACAGACTGAATCCTGACATCCAGACCCCCCACAGACTGAATCCTGACATCCAGACCCCCCACAGACTGAATCCTGACATCCAGACCCCCCACAGACTGAATCCTGACCCTCCCCACACACACACATTTTGAGTGTATTTTTTTAGTAACTACCAGATTTCAGTCGTTTGTCCAATGAGCTGAGTCAGAGTGTGTGATGTCACTGGTCGTCAGGTGAACCTCAGTGGTGTGACCATGATGATGCGTCAGCCGTTTTCCTGCCAGGTGAGGAGGAACTTCCTGTCTGGGATCCAGGTGGAGTACAAACAGTCACTGCATCAGCGTAGTCTGAGGGCCCAGCTGCACTGGCTGCAGGTAAACACACACGCACCTACACTTACACGTGCACACATGCACACCTGCACACCTGCCTGACGTGGTTTCTGTATGCAGGTGGATAACCAGCTGCCAGGTGCCATTTTCCCCATCGTCTTCCACCCTGTTCCTCCTCCGAAGTCCATCGCTCTGGACTCAGGTGGTTCATCTTATTTACTTGCTTCTACTTCTTTAACGTGACGCGTTAACCTGTCGTCTTTTCTCTGTTAACTCTGAGCTCTGCCTCCACAGAGCCGAAGCCGTTCATCGACGTGTCCATCATCACCAGGTTCAACCAGTACAGCAGTGTCATGCAGTTCAAGTGAGTAACAACCAGAGGCTAAACCGGTGCAGGTAGACCTGTTAAAAGACCAGTTTAGTGCAAGTGAACCTGAAAAAAGGTTTAGTTCACGTGGATCCGTTAATTAGAGCAGGTGGACCAGTTAAAGGAGCGGTTTTATTGCAGGTGGATCCGTTAATTAGAGCAGGTGGACCAGTTAAAGGAGCGGTTTAGTGCAGGTGGATCCGTTAATTAGTGCAGGTGGACCAGTTAAAGGAGCGGTTTAGTGCTGGTGGATCCGTTAACTGGTGCAGGTGCACCAGTTAAAGGTCCGGTTTAAATCAGTTAGTCCATACGTCCTTCTGCACAGCCACCTCCTCCAGCTCCTCCTGGAGGATCGTGAGGTGATCCAAGGTCTGATGGGATATGGAATCAATGCCGTGTGTTCTGGTTTGCCCCAGGGTCTCCTCCCAGGTGGACTGAAAAACCTCCACATGGAGTTCAGAAAGCATTCAAGATCAGATGCTGAACCACATCAGCTGACTTCTGAGCCCGGACAACCCACCAAGGAAACTCATTTCAGCTGCATGTATCTATCGATCTCATTGTTTCAGTCACGACCAGAAGTCCACCTTCGGGCTCAGCTACCTCTGCACCACCACAGTCCAGTACAACACCATCAATGTAAATGTTGGCTGATCCATAGTCCCGGGGCAGGTTATAATCAAGACAGTGCTTTAACATGTACCATGTAGTTGGGCTCCTTCACTTGGGGCTGTGGCTCACTTCAACCTGAAGGGAACCATCAGCTGTTTAGAGTTGATTGTACCTCAGACCGGGGTTCTGACTCTCATCCTGCTGCTTCACACTGTTCCAGGTCTCACTGGAGGTCAGAGTCTGATTAAATCAACAGAACCACATCATCTGCAAAGAGCAGGGATATAAAACAGAGGTCACCACACCGGCACTCTCCAAACCTCGAATTAACCTTCAGTTCAGGAGTTCAGTCTGTTCATCAGGTTCTGTGACAGAACCATGTGGAGTCCATCACTGAGAATGGGTCTGACATCCCCCCACAAAACACCCCGGGGGACGTTGCCTTGAGTCTTCTCCACAGAACACATGTAGACTGGATTGACAAACTCCCGTAGCTCCTCTAGGATCCCTGCCAGAGTAAACTGCTGGTCTACTGATCCAGGACCAGGACAGAATCCAAGTCAGTTCTCCTGAGAGGTTCAACGGAAGCTGTCCCAGGGAGGCAGAACAGAATGATATCCTGATGGTTGGAGCTCGCCCTCTGGTCCCCCTTTTATTAAACATGTGAACCACCATCCAGTTCTGCCGGTCTAGTTATTTAATCAGATTTATAGAACCCAAAATCATAAATGTTCCTGAAAGAGCTTAGGGTACAGCATAGGATGCCCTCGATCCTTACACCTGCCAGTCCTGAAGAGGCATCAACGAGACAGTGCCCAGGCTCTAAACCTTCTCAGGGTGAATCTCACCCAGTCCTCCCACCTGTGCCTGCCTCCTCTAGGGGAGGACAAGTGAGTTCAGGTCAGCAGTTCCCCTCCCTGCTCAAAACAGTCTGGACTTTCTCCACAGCCTGCTCAAGCTTTTCCTTCAGCGACCACAGAAGCTGCCTTCAGAAGTCTCTTTGGCCGACTGGACCTGAAAGGACTCAGTTTGATGGCATCCACATCACTGGTGTCGGCACCATGTCAGGCACCGGACGATGTTCTGACCACAACTCAAAACGGCCGCCTCAACATGACCCACTCAGACCCACATCCCCTGCCTCCCCTGGGATGCAATTCCACGGTATGGGGGGGATCCTCAGACAGATTCAGCCGCATCACATGTTTGGGTTTACGTGTCCTGATCCAATCCACCACCAGGTGGAGATCAGGTGCAGATTCAGTCTGTTTCGGGATGGTTCTATCGTATAACTTTCAGGTTCTTCCCAGGTTTCAGTGACTCTGTGTAAATGTGGTCTCTGAGATCCACACCGGCTGACAAGTGTGTCCTGATGGACAGCTGGTTCAACTGCACCAGGATCTGTTTTCTTTGCACGAGTGTCACAATGTTTCAGTCTGGAACTGTGATGAATGCTTGTTTGTTTGTACTTCAGATACTTCATGGCTCTGGTTCAAGAGATGGCGGTGAAAATCGATCAGGGTTTCCTGGAAGCCATCGTGGCTGTGTTCACACCTGCCGCTGACCCCCAGGCCGACAGACAGAAGGTAGAGCAAAGCAGCAGGTTGATGGTTCAATCTCTGACAGGTGACCTGCACACAGAGGGCTAACACGTCTTTTTGTTTCAGTCTCGCCTGTTAGAGAGAGATCTGCAGCTGCTGCAGTCCGAGCTGACGGAGGTGTCGCTCACCGACGCTTCAGGACTCAGCTTCTTCGAACATTTCCACATCTCCCCCATTAAGGTGAGAACACGTCTTCTTCCTCACCTTCTTAAAACTTTTCACTCTGCGTCCAGTCTGTCCTTCATCCAACCTGTCCATCATCCAACCTGTCCTTCATCCAACCTGTCCTTCATCCTCTGCGTCCAACCTGTCCTTCCTCCAACCTGTCCTTCATCCTCTGTTTCCAACCTGTCCTTCATCCAACCTGTCCTTCATCCTCTGCGTCCAACCTGTCCTTCATCCAACTTGTCCTTCATCCTCTGCGTCCAACCTGTCCTTCATCCAACCTGTCCTTCATCCTCTGCGTCCAACCTGTCCTTCATCCAACCTGTCCTTCATCCTCTGTGTCCAATCTGTCCTTTATCCAATATGTTCTTCATCCAACCTGTCCTTCATCCAACCTGTCCTTCATCCTCTGCGTCCAACATGTCCTTCATCCAACCTGTCCTTCATCCAACCTGTCCTTCATCCAACCTGTCCTTCATCCTCTGCGTCCAACCTGTCCTTCATCCAACCTGTCCTTCATCCAACATGTACTTCATCCAATCTGTCCTTTATCCAATATGTCCTTCATCCTCTGTTTCCAACCTGTCCTTCATCCAACCTGTCCACCATCCAACCTGTCCTTCATCCTCTGCGTCCAACCTGTCCACCATCCAACCTGTCCTTCATCCTCTGTTTCCAACCTGTCCTTCATCCTCTGCGTCCAACCTGTCCTTCATCCAACCTGTCCTTCATCCTCTGTTTCCAACCTGTCCTTCATCCAACCTGTCCTTCATCCTCTGCGTCCAACCTGTCCTTCATCCTCTGCGTCCAACCTGTCCTTCATCCTCTGTGTCCAATCTGTCCTTTATCCAATATGTCCTTCATCCAACCTGTCCTTCATCCTCTGCGTCCAACATGTCCTTCATCCAACCTGTCCTTCATCCAACATGTACTTCATCCAATCTGTCCTTTATCCAATATGTCCTTCATCCTCTGTTTCCAACCTGTCCTTCATCCAACCTGTCCACCATCCAACCTGTCCTTCATCCTCTGCGTCCAACCTGTCCTTCATCCAACCTGTCCTTCATCCTCTGTTTCCAACCTGTCCTTCATCCTCTGCGTCCAACCTGTCCTTCATCCAACCTGTCCTTCATCCAACCTGTCCTTCATCCTCTGTTTCCAACCTGTCCTTCATCCAATCTGTCCTTCATCCTCTGCGCCCAACCTGTCCTTCATCCAACCTGTCCTTCATCCAACCTGTCCTTCATCCTCTGCGTCCAATCTGTCCTTCATCCAACCTGTCCTTCATCCTCTGCGTCCAACCTGTCCTTCATCCTCTGCGTCCAACCTGTCCTTCATCCTCTGCGTCCAACCTGTCCTTAATCCAACCTGTCCTTAATCCAACCTGTCCTTCATCCAACCTGTCCATCATCCAACCTGTCCTTCATCCTCTGCGTCCAACCTGTCCTTCATCCAACCTGTCCTTCATCCTCTGCGTCCAATCTGTCCTTCATCCAATCTGTCCTTCATCCTCTGCGTCCAACCTGTCCTTCATCCAACCTGTCCTTCATCCTCTGCGTCCAACCTGTCCTTAATCCTATGTTTTTATATTTTATGTTTCAGCTTCATCTCAGTCTGTCTCTGGGCTCCAGCGGTGGGAACTCGTCTCAGGGGACAGTGTCCGTTGAGTCTCTTAACCTGCTGTTAAAAAGTATCGGTGCCACGCTGACCGACGTTGATGACCTCATTTTCAAGTGAGACACTTCCTGCTGTTCAGTGTTTTTGTTTTAGAGAGATGCATTCTGGGCCGTGATGCTCCTCTGTCAGTTGAATGCAACATTAGACGCATCCATGCTCAGATAACAGAAACATTTCTTACTCTGTGAGAGTTCATCAAACCACATTTTTAGGAAGAGGAAACGTGTTGTTTGGCCCTGTCAAAACAAAAGTTGTCCTCTCTGGTGTGATGTGGAGTTGAATCTGCGTTTTGTGTTTGGTGTCCTCAGACTGGCCTTCTTCGAGGTGAAGTACCAGTTTTACAGCAGAGAGAAGCTGATGTGGGCGGTGGTCCGGCACTACAGTGAGCAGGTAACACTGCAGCCTCTGTTTGTCATCGTAACCCTGAACCCGTTCACCCAAAGTCTTCCTCACTGCTTCCTCCCTCATGAGTCGGGTCCTGGTCTTTAATGGTGCAGTGGTGGACTGTGTAAACTACATTACTCTTCTGATGTTTGAGTGGTCTCAGTTTCTGGGTTTGGAAAACACACGGTGATGTGGATTTATTCACTGCTCCGTCCTGCTGTTGCCTTTTTGAGTCTTGTGAAATGTTTTTCCCGTTCTCTTCCAGTTGTCCTTCTTGTAGTCTGAGTACCATAAAGATTTTTACATATCAGTCCGGTGTTGCAGGCGCTGCCTCTCTCAGTTCCTCTGCATGCAGTAACTTTGCACACCATTTCCCAAAACATATTATTATTCTCTGACAGAAATATCTGAACAGAATTCCCTCCATGTGAGTTGGTGGATGTTTGTTGCATCTGCCATGTGTTTTTAATACCATTCTCTTCTACATATAAGGTTTAGTGTGGTCTACAAGCTTTCAGAGCTTCCTCTGAGATGATTGTTAAGATCTAAAATCAGTCATCAAGAAACACACTTCCTCTTCCTGCTTCTAAAAGTGATGGTCCATCACTGAATGAACAGTTGACCTGATTAAAGTTTGTGAACCTCTGATGGAAGAACATGATGTTGTTTCTGGCTGCAGTTCCTGAAGCAGATGTATGTTCTGGTTCTGGGTCTGGACGTCCTGGGAAACCCGTTTGGACTGATCCGAGGTCTGTCTGAGGGAGTGGAGGCCTTCTTCTACGAACCTTTCCAGGTAACACACACACGCACACACATGACTTACAAAACATTTTCAACACAGCATGGAAACGAGTTCTTAAGCCCAGACCTGCACAAGAAACGCCGGCTTTAAAACGATGACGTCGGCTCATTCTGATGCATCTGCCATCAGACCGTCTGCCCAAGGAGGTAAAGTGAATCTATGGGAAAGTTCTGCTGTGAGTTTAACTTTGGTGAACTGTAACCTGCGAATTTGACTGGTGGTGTAACGGATTGTAGGTGATCCACGATCCGTACGGACGCCCCCTTTTTAAAGTAATGAGTAAACGGTGATGCAGAGAAAGGCCGAAAAGACTCGACTGCAACTGATCACAGAACTCACGCATCATCTTAAAATGTGCTACTCTGGTTCTGATGTAGCCACCTCTCTGTCTGTAGTCTCACTCTGGGTCCCGCCCACAACATCTGATTGGTTACACGTCATAAGTAACAGCCTATCAGCTCTGACGGCTGCCGAGCGTCAGACGGCAAAGAGACCGGCTGCTCGTCTGCGTGTCGAAGGGAAGGCAGCAGATTTTACTGAACCTCTGAGAGGTTGACTGGTGAAAATGGACCACACGTCTAAATCTGGGCTTCAGACTGGTTCAGGTCACGGTTTGTAGGAGCCGAGTGGCTGTGGCCGAGTGCCCCTGTAACACAGACCTTGGACCCCCCATGGCCCCTCTGAACGAAAAGTCAACAATTATCAAAGTAAGATACGGAACAAATGTGTCTCAACTAGTTGGATCCTTTAGGACGTTACACCGCCACTGTCCGGTGTCGTGCAAAGGGAGTTAACCCCGATAGAAAGTGTTCCCCCAACGGTGAAGGCGGACCTTCGACTTCAGGAAAGTTAATGAAAAATATAACATGTGGATTGTTTCATCTGTCGTTTTAATTTTGTTTTATCAACAAGGTTTTTGCAAAGCGAGCTAGCACATGGATTATAAGAACGCTTTTAACGTTAACGTTACGCGTTATTGAACTTCGTATTATTCACTGCACTGAACTGAGAATGTCTAAACAAAACGAGCAGTTTCAGTTTCCCTCGTAAAGCAAACCGTTATTTTGTGATAGTCTGGCGATGTTCTAACTGACCACGCAGTCGATCACTCAGTCGTCAGTTTTACTGTTTGGAAGCTGGATCCTGACAGACTGTCAACTTTTTCAAGTAAGCTGCTCCTACAAATATCTACGCCATCGATACTGTAAAATCTAGATCACTGGAATCAGTTTAACACGTCGCTCGCCTCAACGTTGCATCTACTGGACTCGAAATGTGCATTAAACTGAATGCAGCATTGTAGATTTTGTCCTTGTAATCCACGTTTCCATTGCATGGGCAGCATTTGGATATTGCTGGAAATTGTTCTGAGTCCCCCTCCTTAAAGAGTAAATTAGTATCATAACAAATTAATAATGCATTTAAACAGAACTTCTCATACACAAAAAGCGATAACAGTAGCCTACTGGTCCTACCAGGCTGGATATGCAAATATATGTATCCCCCTCCATAATGCACAGATGATGGCCTACTATCAAGTAGTTTGTTTTGTGTACACTTCACATCAGGAAAAGTTATAGTGGGATACAAAATACAAACTGGGATCCCGAGAATGTCTAGTACACTAGAGCTTCTACTGTTCATTAAGCCTTACAAAGAAGTGTTGCATCAAAGAATGTACTCTAACTTGAGCTAAAGTTAACAGGAAGTAATTTACCGAAAATGTCCTGTTACTGAAACAAAAACTGCAAGTTACTGAAACATACTAAAACATTAAATTAACAAGAGATTTTGAAAGCTTGAACTTTGCCTTTGTCTCTTTTGTCCTGGATTGAATGGGCCCCTCTGACAAAACAACTTGCCCCGCCTGGCCCCCTCGATAAAACTGGTCTAGACCCGCCACTGCCGAGTGGACCTGTAGCGGGAAATCAGCCCTGCTTTAATAAAGCTGACTGCTGTGTGTGTTCATCAGGGGCAGTCCAGGGTCCAGAGGAGTTCGCTGAAGGTTTTGTGATCGGAGTCCGTAGCCTGCTGGGTCACACTGTCGGTAAGAAACTGAGAAACCAAACCTTTATCCAACAGGAGAGACGTCTGTCGGCACACATTCAGACAGAAGACTTCTTTTAATGTTTGGATGAATGAAATATTTGGACTGTCTGGATTGTAAATCACTTCTTAGAGTAGTGTGGACTTCAGCAGGTGTCTCCAGGTGTTCTGCAAATGTTCTAGAGTAGTATAAAGCCTTCACAAGCTCCAGGCTACATTAGCCGCTTCTACCTGGGAGAGTTGCATTGTGGGTAAATAAGGATGGTGTGGTGATATGTCTGGTTGCTCTGATTCTGACGAGTCCGACAGCCCTTCCTGGAGTCTGATGATAAATGTGATGAGCCCTGTGGTGAACAGCTGACTGTGTCCTCCTGCAGGTGGCGCTGCAGGGGTGGTTTCCAGGATCACGGGGTCAGTGGGTAAAGGTCTGGCAGCCATCACCATGGATAAGGAGTACCAACAGAAACGACGAGAGGAGATGAACCGACCGCCTAGAGACTTCGGAGAGAGTCTGGCTAAAGGAGGAGTTGGACTGCTGAAGGTACAGACACTCCAGCTGATGAAGGTCAGCTGATGAAGGTCAGCTGATGAAGGTCGGTAACAAGTTTGTGTCTCCGCAGGGAGTCATGGGTGGAGTAACAGGCATCGTCACCAAACCTGTGGAGGGTGAGTATCCTCCTTCGGTTTTATTGTAGAACTGATTGAAAGTGTATTTACAGACCTGATTTAGGACAATGAGACAAACACAGACTAGATTACAGTAGTACTAATGATTAAGGGGAGACTGGAGCATGAACTGTACAGCACCTTGGACCTTTGTGGCTGCATCTCTGCCTCCCTCATGTCATCTCTGCTTTCTGTAATGAAGTCAGAGAAATGTGTAAACTATGATGGGAAGACTTGATAGAGAAAGTAAACTGTACAGCGTGTTAGCGGCGATCTGGATCTCAGGGGTCTGGATAATAAAGATCAGAGCTGTAGATATGTCAGGCTTTCTATAAAGGAAAGGTTATCAGTGGTGACTGGATGAACAGTACAGAGGCTTGTGTGGAACGTTTAGTTACACTGTCATTATTATTAAAAGAAAAACGCTAACTAAAAAAACTAAAACACTCACCAATCAGATTGCAGTAGAACCTCAGCAGAAGATTGTCCGAGTGTACCTGATGTTGATATGAAATGTGTCTGCAGGGGCGAAGAAGGAGGGCGCAGCAGGTTTCTTTAAGGGCATCGGGAAAGGTCTGGTAGGCGTGGTGGCCCGGCCGACAGGCGGCATCGTGGACATGGCCAGCAGCACCTTCCAGGGCATCCAGAGGTACGCTGCCTCCGTCACTCTTTTCTGAGATTCTGAGAGTTTCTTTATTCGTCGTTTGTTTCCAGTACTTTCCCAGGGAAGAACTTCCTGTTTTGTCCGTGTGCTTCATAACGTGTCAGCTGTTTCCTCTTTTCTTCTTCTTGTGCGCTCACTAATTTTCACATTTTCTGCTTTTGTTTCTGTCTCGTGTGGTCGTTTCCCCGGAGTTTTGTTCTTTCGTTTCTTGTGGTTTTGGTGTGTGAGTATTTCACATTAAACATGTTAAAGCTGAGCTCCTTCATCACCGCTCATGTAAAGTCTGTTAGTGAATCACAGAAACAGAGTTCTTCTCAGTATCTGTTTGAATAAAATCGCTTATTTTGGCCTTAAAACGTAAATTTTAATCCAGATCAGATGAAGGAGATGAGCTTCCACGTGCAGCTGTTGTATGTTTTTGCATGTTGTTGTCGTCCTGCAGCAGACGGACGGTAAGTCGCTGCATCATGTCAGAAATAAACACTTCATCTGACTGACTCATGCTCACATCGTCCGTCACTCTAACACTGCCAGCAGCCCCGCCCTATGTTAAATCCCCCCCCACCCCGCTGGCTGCAGCATGGTGAGTCGAGAGGTCAGGTGACAGCGGGTTGATCCGTTTACAACATTACCATTAAATCCCAAACATGACCTCAGGATTCAAACAAATGCCACTTCCTCAATAATGTAATAACGAATCAGCTCCAAGTTCAGTGGTTCCCAAACATTTTACAACCATAGAACCCAACAGACGTACCTTCATTCCTGTCAATGTTATCTGTAACATGAACCTCCAAGAAAGACATGAAAGAAGATAAAGCAACCCCCGTGAACTGGCTAGCTGCCTAACATGGAGTCAAACCTCAAGGGGTGATCAGATATTACCACCAGGGCTTTGCAGAGTGGAGCAGGCAGCAGAGGGGGTGTCCCAATACTTTGCAACAACCAGAACCTCATCTGTCTCATCAGCACTGAGCTGTAAAAGTGTTCTGCTGTCCGGTCCCTGATAGCTTTTCAGTCTAGGAGCCCAGATAATCCAGAAGCTTCACCGAGTTTATAAGAAAAAGGAATGGACTAATGCTGAACAGGAAAAACACCTGAGTAATTCTGACTGCTGGTTTAAATGATGTTGGGTAGGGTGAGCAGCTTCATAGACTTCACTGTGGTCAAAACAACTCATGTGTTCTTTATTCACTTGAATTAAATATAACTTTCACACAAAGTTTACAGTTTACTAACATGCATCATCTGAAATCATCAAATCTTTCTGACAGTTTAAAGTTCATTAATCTTATATTCATGAACGAGACAGGAAAGCTCAAGACTACGGGGGAGGGAAGAAGTCGTGTTACTACTACAGGCATTGAGTTTTTACATCCTGAAGGCACATTTGGAGTTTAGCTAACTGATTAGTTTCATCTGGCTTGACTGATAGATATAATTGAGTATCATCTGTATAACAATGAAGTGAGTGTTTCCTGATAATATTGCCTAAAGGAAGCATATTTAAAGTGAACAGGATTGGTCCCAGCACAGATCCTTGTGGAACTCTGTGACTAACTTTGGCGTGCAGTCTTGTAATAGTATATGATGCAATTAGGAGGTCATTAGTAATTTTCACCAGTGCTGTCTCTGTGCTTTGAAGAACTTTAAATCCTGACTGAAAATCCTCAAATAAACTATTGCTATGTAGAAAGTCACACAGCTGTTTGGCAACTGCTTTCTCAAGGATCTTAGAGAGATACAGGTCTATAGCTGAAGGTTAGTTACAGGTCTGTAGTTTGTAGCTTAGATACATGTCTATAGTTGAAGGTTAGGTACAGGTCTGTAGTTTGGAGGTTAGCTACAGGTCTGTAGTTTGAAGGTTAGCTACAAGTCTGTAGTTTGGAGGTAAGATACAGGTCTATAGTTGAAGGTTAGCTACAGGTCTGTAGTTTGGAGGTTAGCTACAGGTCTGTCGTTTGAAGGTTAGCTACAAGTCTGTAGTTTGGAGGTTAGATACAGGTCTATAGCTGAAGGTTAGCTACAGGTCTGTAGTTTGGAGGTTAGCTACAGGTCTGTCGTTTGAAGGTTAGCTACAAGTCTGTAGTTTGGAGGTAAGCTACAGGTCTGTAGTTTGAAGGTTAAATACAGGTTTGTAGTTTGAAGGGTAGCTACAGGTCTGTAGTTTGAAGGGTAGCTACAGGTCTGTAGTTTGGAGGTTAGCTACAGGTCTGTAGTTGAAGGTTAGCTACAGGTCTGTAGTTTGGAGGTTAGCTACAGGTCTGTAGTTTGGAGGTTAGCTACAGGTCTGTAGTTTGGAGGTTAGCTACAGGTCTGTAGTTTGGAGGTTAGCTACAGGTCTGTAGTTTGAAGGTTAGATACAGGCCTGTAGTTTGAAGGTTAGATACAGGTCTGTAGTTGAAGGTAAGCTACAGGTCTGTAGTTTGGAGGTTAGATACAGGTCTGTAGTTTGGAGGTTAGATACAGGTCTGTAGTTGGCTAAAAGCCCTGGATCAAGGCTGAGCTTTTTAAGATGTGCTGTTCAGCAGCTGCATGGAGTTGTACGACAGCTGGCAGACTACAGACAGGAAGTACGATGAGAACACGAATGTGTTGAATGTGAGAGAACTGCATCTTTGAAACACGTTGACTCACAGCAGCGTGTTTGCTGACATGTGGACAGAAGCGTCTCCTGCTGCATGTAGGCGAATGTGCACGGTGTTCGCTCGAAGGCTTCATGTGGCTGTTTCTTTTTTATTACCTGTTTTCTGAACCCGCCTCCCAACAAGATTTAAATGAACCAATCAGCTTGCTTGAAGTGCAGGATCGCAGTATCGCTGTTGAGCTGTGGGGGAGGTGTTATGCAGAACACCCTGCTCTGTGCAGATGCTCAGAGATGTTTACATGAATCTCCATGGAAACAAAAGGAGATTGATGAATGATGACATGGTTCACTACTTTAAATATGTGTCATTACCACAAAATACAAATAACAATGTAAATGCTACAAAATTTGTAGTATATTTAACAAATATTTCTAGGTAAATATACAAAAATGTAAATTCTACTATAAACTTTTAGGGACATGTAAATAGTAGAATAGTAAAGTTTTTTTTTTTTTAAATAATCACTACTACTTAATATGTATAAATGCAAATCATACTACTACATTTGCACAAGTTCATCTAAATAGTAGTAAATATTTAGAAGTATTAGAAAGTATTTGTGAAAACATCAATTCTATATACTTATGTAAATATAAAAAAATACTTTTAAGTAGTACTAAATATTTGTGATTTGCATTGAAGTACTAACTAATTACTAGTAATACTCAGAAGCACATGTAATATTGTTAAATAGGTATAAGTACTGTATATAGTTTAATTAAACTGTGTTTGACATTAGAATATTACAGGTAACATTTATTCTTCAGTAAATCTGTCGTCGCCTCGACAGCCTGCTTCTCTCCCTGAAATATTTCCCAGCTGCCTCAGTGACCTTCATCATCATCCTCCTCCTCCTCATCTGTCATGTGACGCATCAGTTCATGATAACCTATTGAACGTTACTGTTTCATGCTGTCACTGTAGAGGTCACCAAAGGTGAGATATCCCACCGGACAGATGCACCTAACAGCACCGTGGTCACTCGCTCAGTGTGACAGATACTGACTGATCAGTTATTGATCCTCAGCTCAGTGATGTATCGATATCTTCTGGTGAATCTTGCTGTCACTCAGGTGGAGGTGGGCTGTAAACTGTGTGTGTGTGTGTGTGTGTGTGTGTGTGTGTGTGCTGTGATGTCAGAGCGGCGGAGTCGACAGAGGAAGTGACCAAAC